TTCTTCATCAATAGTATCCAACCAATTGCACTCACAAGACAAGCATGCTAATCCTAACATTAAGGGGAAGAGGATTGAGAAGTTGTGGATTGATTGACTAAGTGCTTTAGTAGAAGCAACAGGAGATCTAAGCAACAGCAAAAAATCATCGTGAAAATAGCAAGAAAAGAACAAGCTCCATTGCAACCAGCAAAACACCATCTTATCCTCCATAACATAGACAACCAGTGTGTTGAACATCCTAAATACAACAAATTAGAGGGGATCTGGATGTTTCAGATCCATTGACCAAGTATTTTGAAAAAAAGCATATTTTTTGCTGTATTTTTGTTTGGTACCAAGATGAACAACAACAACAACAACAACAACAACAACAACAACAACAACAACAACAACAACAACAACAACAACAACAACAACAACACCCGAGCAGGGCCTCCAAGACAGCCTGCTATACTCCCAGCACGACTATTGATCCAGTCAATTATCAAGAGATGCATGACAATGTGTGCTGAAACATCAGCTGCTGGGACAGTTGGAGTATCTTTTGCAGTTGGCAAAAAAGAAAAATCAGCAACAGCAACAACAATGAAGATGCGGCCGCCAGCAGCAGTAAGGGACACAGTTGCAGTTGGATCAGTGCACACAGGACGCACCTTTGCAATGTGTGAAAGAACAACACTGGCTGCTGTGCCCTATGAAGAGAGCTGTGTTATTTGCTCATTTTAGTGACAAAGAAGCCAGCAACAAGGCCTCACAAAGAAGAGTACAACCATGCATGGAAAGGATGGTTAAGGGACCTCTGGGCCTACAAATTCCCTTGATTGTACTAATGGTGGTGAAGGAGGAGAACTATCATGTCTAACCTCTTACAAGGAAAGTCCTGCTGCATTTATCAACCTGCTGGAGGAGCTGGCAAAAATATCTGGCCTAACTGTTGAAGACTTGGTAACAAAATTATCTGTTGTCTCCACCCCCCCCTGCAGCAACAGCAAGGAAGGATGATACTACTACTACTACTACTACTACTGAGGAGGGGTGCTCACCAGCTCCACAACTACTAGAGAAGGGTTCTGATACTCCTAAACAAGCTCATATCAAGACGGTAAACAAGTTTGTTCAGAAATGAGCTCACAATGATGTGTGTGAAGCAGCCGCCAAGAAAGTCAGGTACAAGCAAGAAAATTTTCTACCAAACTCCTTTTCATCTGTTGTGAGCATCGTGTCTCAAGTCAATTTGCTTTACAACATGCCGTTAAAGGCAAACACCATCAGACAACATTTGAAGGACAGCTTCAGGCCCCCCGGGCGTGCCTGGAAAATTTTGCTACCACCAGCAATCAAAGCACCACTAGCTGATGCAGTGCCATTGTTTGTTACTTTTGCATGTGAGGAAAAGGAGATGATTCCCTGATGTAAAGAAATTGCCTTGTTGTTGAAAGCGTGTCTTTTACCTGGTCCATGTCTGCTAAACAATTTTGTGAGTCTCAACCAACGTTTACTCCCTATGTTTGTAGAACATAAAAGTGGCCAAAAGCAAAACAAAAATTGAAGAGAGACAATTGAAGTGATACTTGATTTGATACACTTAAGGACACACTTGTTGAAAAAGGATTTGGCAGGATGAAACAAGATGATGAAATCCTGGAAGGTGAGCTGCTGGTGTTTTTTCCYGGGCAACTAAATCAACCCTTCTTCATCCTAGGGTAACCAATACAATGCATGTTACACAGCCAAGAGATTGTAATTATGGTTATTTCAAAACACTGTACCAAAAAAATCTGGAAAAATGTGTACACCACTGGTGCTGCATGAAAAATRATAATCTTTAGCAGTCAGATTATCTGCTTTTAGTTTTTGGTGGTAAGCGCAATGGCTGGAATGAGAACATGGTTTTGGATCTTGTTTTTGATGATTCTTTATCAATTGACCAATGTAAAGATGCATGGAGAACCATTGGGATTGCACCGTTCACCCGCAAATACCTACAGGACAMAAATGTGCAACACAAACTGATCCTTTTGCTGGATGGCTCCATTTATCTAGCAACCAATCCCAATGTAGCTGCACTGGTAGCACACAAGAAAAGAATTCTGCAGCATTTAAAGTATTGAATGATGCTGGTTTTAACAGGGAAGTTTTTCAGAAATATGCACMACAAAAGAGTAAGCAGTTGGTAGATCAAGTGACAGAACCAAATACGAGGGCTTGCCAAGATGCAATTGCAGGTGTTAAATATTCTAGCCAGCACTTCATTGCAACTGGCAGAGATACACTGAACACAAAGGACTACTTTATTGCCAAGGAAAGAACCAGACAATTGGATGAGACTAAACACTTGGAAGGAAAGAAGAAGGTTGCAAAAGCAGCAGAAGCTTTGAGCAGCAAAGCTCATAGTTTGTTTGRGAATTTTTCTTGAAAGGGAAAAGATGTTAAGAGGGAGGAAGATACAAAGACCCTCCCAGTTTCTACTCTGAAGGTTTTGTGCCAGTGGAAGCAACAAAAGAAAATTCCTGCAAAGAAAGACTAGGAGCTGTTGGAAATGTGGATACAAGTAAAGAATATTTCCCATCCTCATTTTGAGGGATGGACTGATACTGATGAGACTTTGCTAAATAAACTGAAAGAGGACAAAATAACTATCAGGGAGGCA